TCACACCTCATCAACACATCATCACACCTCATCAACACATCATCACACTTCATCAACACATCATCACACATCATCAACACATCATCAAACCATATCAACACATCATCACACCTCATCAACACATCATCACACCTCATCAACACATCATCACACCTCATCAACACATCATCACACATCATCAACACATCATCACACATCATCAACACATCATCACACATCATCAACACATCATCACACATCATCAACACATCATCACACCTCATCAGCACATCAACACGTCATATCAACACATCATCACACCTCATCAACACATCATCACACTTCATCAACACATCATCACGTCATATCAACACATCATCACACCTCATCAACACATCATCACATCTCAGCAACACATCATCGCACCTCATCAACACATCATCACACCTCATCAACACATCATCACACCTCATCAACACATCATCACACTTCATCAACACATCATCACACATCATCAACACATCATCAAACCATATCAACACATCATCACACTTCATCAACACATCATCACACCTCATCAACACATCATCACACCTCATCAACACATCATCACACATCATCAACACATCATCACACATCATCAACACATCATCACACATCATCAACACATCATCACACATCATCAACACATCATCACACCTCATCAGCACATCAACACGTCATATCAACACATCATCACACCTCATCAACACATCATCACACTTCATCAACACATCATCACGTCATATCAACACATCATCACACCTCATCAACACATCATCACATCTCAGCAACACATCATCGCACCTCATCAACACATCATCACACCTCATCAACACATCATCGCACCTCATCAACACATCATCACACCTCATCAACACATCATCACACTTCATCAACACATCATCACACTTCATCAACACATCATCGCACCTCATCAACACAACATCAAACCTCATCAACACATCATCACACCACATCAGCACATCATAACACTTCATCAACACATCATCACACCTCATCAGCACATCATCACACCTCATCAACACATCATCACACTTCATCAACACATCATCAAACCATATCAACACATCATCACGTCATATCAACACATCATCCCACTTCATCAACACATCATCTCATCAATACATTTCATCACATCTCACCTAATCTTCAACACATCATGAAACCACATCAACACATCATCACACCTCATCAACACATCATCACACCTTATCAACACATCATCACACCTCATCAACACAACATCACATCTCATCAACACAAATCACACCTCATCAACACATCATCACATCCTATCAACACATTATCACACCTCATCAACACAACATCACACCTCATCAAGACATCATCACACCTTATCAACACATCATCACACCTCATCAACACATCATCGCACCTCATCAACACATCATCACACCTCATCAACACATCATCACACCTCATCGATACATCATCACACATCATCAACACAACATCACACCTTATCAACACATCATCACACCTCATCAACACATCATCACACCTCATCGATACATCATAACACCTCATAAACACATAACCACACCATATCAACACATCATCACACCTCATCATCACACCTCATCAACACATCATCACACCTTATCAACACATCATCACACCTCATCAACACAACATCACATCTCATCAACACAACATCACACCTCATCAACACATCATCACATCCTATCAACACATTATCACACCTCATCAACACAACATAACACCTCATCAACACATCATCACACCTCATCAACACATCATCACACCTCATCAACACATCATCACACCTCATCAACACATCATCACATCCTATCAACACATCATCACAACATATCAACACAACATCACACCTCATCAACACATCATCACACCTCATCAGCACATCATCACACCATATCAACACATCATCACACCTCATTAACACATCATCACACCTCATCAACACATCATCACACCATATCAACACATCATCACACCATATCAACACATCATCACACCTCATTAACACATCATCACACTTCATCAACACATCATCACACCACATCAACACATCATCACACATCATCAACACATCATCACACCTCATCAACACATCATCACACCACATCAACACATCATCACACATCATCAACACATCATCACACCACATCAACACATCATCACACTTCATCAACACATCATCACACCACATCAACACATCATCACACTTCATCAACACATCATCACACTTCATCAACACATCATCACACTTCATCAACACATCATCACACCACATCAACACATCATCACACATCATCAACACATCATCACACCACATCAACACATCATCACACTTCATCAACACATCATCACACTTCATCAACACATCATCACACTTCATCAACACATTATCACACCATATCAACACATCATCACACATCATCAACACATCATCACACCTCATCAACACATCATCACACCACATCAACACATCATCACACATCATCAACACATCATCACACCACATCAACACATCATCACACTTCATCAACACATCATCACACCACATCAACACATCATCACACTTCATCAACACATCATCACACTTCATCAACACATCATCACACTTCATCAACACATCATCACACCACATCAACACATCATCACACATCATCAACACATCATCACACCACATCAACACATCATCACACTTCATCAACACATCATCACACTTCATCAACACATCATCACACTTCATCAACACATCATCACACTTCATCAACACATCATCACGCTTCATCAACACATCATCACACCACATCAACACATCATCACACATCATCAACACATCATCACACCACATCAACACATCATCACACATCATCAACACATCATCACACCACATCAACATATCATCACACTTCATCAACACATCATCACACTTCATCAACACATCATCACACTTCATCAACACATCATCAACACAACATCACACCTCATCAACACATCATCACACATCATCAACACGTCATCACACTTCATCTACACATCATCACACCTCATCAACACATCATCACACTTCATCAACACATCATCACACCACATCAACACATCATCACACATCATCAACACATCATCACACCACATCAACACATCATCACACTTCATCAACACATCATCACACTTCATCAACACATCATCACACTTCATCAACACATCATCACACTTCATCAACACATTATCACACCACATCAACACATCATCACACATCATCAACACATCATCACACCACATCAACACATCATCACACTTCATCAACACATCAACACACTTCATCAACACATCATCAACACATCATCACACCACATCAACACATCATCACACTTCATCAACACCACATCAACACATCATCACACTTCATCAACACATCATCACACCTTCATCAACACATCATCACACTTCATCAACACATCATCACACTTCATCAACACATCATCACACCACATCAACACATCATCACACATCATCAACACATCATCACACCACATCAACAAATCATCACACATCATCAACATATCATCACACTTCATCAACACATCATCACACTTCATCAACACATCATCACACTTCATCAACACATCATCACACCACATCAACACATCATCACACTTCATCAACACATTATCACACCACATCAACACATCATCACACTTCATCAACACATTATCACACTTCATCAACACATCATCACACTTCATCAACACATCATCACACTTCATCAACACATCATCACACCTCATCAACACATCATCACACTTCATCAACACATCATCAAACCATATCAACACATCATCTCATCAATACATTTCATCACATCTCACCTAATCTTCCCACATCATCATCGCATTTCATCACACCTAATCCAATTATCAACACATCACATCTTATCACCACATCTCATCTTATTTCGTATCACCATCACATCTTATCATAGCATCTCATCAATACATTTCATCACATCTCACCTAATCTTCCCATATCATCATCGCATTTCATATCATTTCATCTAATAATCAACAGATCACATCTTATAATCGCATCACATCTTATCACAACATCTCATCTTATTTCGTGTCACCATCACATCTTATCATAGCATCTCATCAATACATTTCATCACATCTCACCTAATCTTCCCATATCATCATCGCATTTCATATCATTTCATCTAATAATCAACAGATCACATCTTATAATCGCATCACATCTTATCACAACATCTCATCTTATTTCGTGTCACCATCACATCTTATCATAACATCTCATCAATTCATTTCATCACATCTCACCTAATCTTCCCATATCATCATCGCACTTTATAACATTTCATCTCATAATCAACAGATCACATCTTATAATCGCATCACACCTCATCACCATATGTCATCTGAGCATCATATCTTATCAACACATCATCTGTCATCTGATCATCATATCTTATCAACACATCATCTGTTATGAACACATCCTCACATCGTCACATCATCTAATCTCCTCTCGTCAAACGGGTGTCTACTACCTGGGTCAGAACATGATTATGAAACTAAGGACAAATTGCTATCAGCTTTCAATATTCATTCATGTTCACCACCATAACGATTCTGAGGATAAACTCGCACCTGCCTTTATATCATCGAACAAAAGAGTAGTGTGAGGTTTATAAAAGCCTTTGAACAGTGGAGGAAGTGCAACAATCCTATACTACATCCTGATCAACAACTCAAACACGTTTTGAAGAAGTAAAAGCTCTCCATGGCATAACTACATTGTGACCAGTGTTGTTTAGGGGGACCTCCGAAGCTACCCAGGCACATATATGGACGGACGTACGAAGTAAGGTAGGTACACTTGCAGAGGTTCAGCGTCAAAGAGGAACTGGCGAGTATCATACATGTATATATGATTGTGTCAAGATTAACGCCTTTGATACTTCGCGATCGATGACGTCATGTAATTTTAAGTTGTTTAGAAGTATCGTGTTATTTCACAAAAGTGAGAGGACAGATCTTAAGTTAATCACATGAGACGCTAGGCTGTGAGGAGTTGTGGCCATGGTAATTAGACATTTATACATGTTTGATTCAGTAATTCAAGAACTAGGTGGATGGTTGATTTAAAATTAGAAAATGCGAAATAATTGCTCCCGCACATTATACACGTGCCGACTCAGCCCTTCAAGGGAATATTAGTCTGCTTTTTTAAGCTCTTCTATCGTCAATGTTATTGGGCGTAGACCTTCGAACGGCAGCAACAGCACGGTTGGTGAGACGACATAGGAAGATACACCACAACCCAAACCATGAATCCGATCACTGTATTGTTAAGTTATCAGATCATATCATCATTCACTGGCACCTAACAAGAACTTGTTGTGATAATTCTTAATTCTTTGCTAATTTGGTATATTTTCACATCTTTTGGATTTGACAGTATTAGTGTTGATATTTGATATTGTCATGTGATATTTCCTTCATTTCGCCAGTGACCAACAAGCTGGAGATGTCAGGGATGAAACTAGGACTGTTCACGACGCCACTACTAGTATTCACTGTTCTATCAGGTGGGTCACTACAAAGCAGTACACTGAAAGAGGTTGTGTCGCCGATCACATTTGTGTGTCTTCGTATGTTTGCATAGGTTGCTGGGGAGCTATATTCCTACCCTGAATTACCACGGAACGGATCACATTTGTGTGTCTTTGTATGTTTGCATAGGTTGCTGGGGAGCTATATTCATACAATGAATTACCACGGCATCGATCACATTTGTGTGTCTTTGTATGTTTGCATAGGTTGCTGGGGAGCTATATTCCTACCCAGAATTACGACGGGACGGATCACAATTTTGTGTCTCTGTATGTTTGCATAGGTTGTTGGGAAGCTATATTCCTACCCTGAATTACCACGGGACCGATCACATTTGTGTGTCTTTGTATGTTTGCATAGGTTCCTGGGGAGCTATATTCCTACCCTGAATTACCACGGGACGGATCACATTTGTGTGTCTTTGTATGTTTGCATAGGTTGCTGGGAAGCTATATTCCTACCCTGAATTACCACGGGACGGATCACATTTGTGTGTCTTTGTATGTTTGCATAGGTTGCTGGGGAGCTATATTCATACAATGAATTACCACGGGACCGATCACATTTGTGTGTCTTTGTATGTTTGCATAGGTTGCTGGGAAGCTATATTCCTACCCTGAATTACCACGGGACGGATCACATTTGTGTGTCTTTGTATGTTTGCATAGGTTCCTGGGGAGCTATATTCCTACCCTGAATTACTACGGGACCGATCACATCTAAGAAACTTACAAATGTAGAGATAATATTACATAATAGTTCTGATTTTAAGAAATAAGAGTTTTGCTTAGGACGTTGTAAATATTGAAAAGTATATCTTGCAATCGAATGAAATTATCACTTACAAATTAACTTTTTGTAAAAAGCATAGGTGAAGAAGTAAAAGTGGAATCTGTGTGTCAATGATGCACTACGACCATAACTATTCGGCGCATAATGTCTGTTTTGCATTAACAAAGCTGAAATAACAACGTCCTTCGAAGTACTGATTTAAAAACTTTCTTATATCACCTTTCCTCGCATGGAACATTAATAATAGTATGTACATATATTAATAAGTAATGCAATAATTTGAAATACCGTTTGAGATAGAGTAAAACTCTATTTCATTCCAAGTTCTTCTTCTTGGAGCGTTACTGGGATCATTGACCATAAAGAAATAATGGACAATATTTTGGTAGAAATATTAATCTCATAATCCTTTTTTTTAAATAGTCCCATCGTCTCCATTAACCATTACTGAAACATCTGAGGGGTGTCACCGCATATTGTATTGTCAAGAGACCAAGGACAATGATACAGTTCTGTGGTACAAGAACAACCTGGAGATAATGGAGACATCCAAAGACAGTTATGGCTCTAATTCCAGCGTGTCACTCCGTGATGTCCAGGATGGTACAACACTCGCTAATGTGAGTGTGTCGGAGAAGCGACACAGTTTAACACTAATGGTGTCCTTGCTCTTTGGTAAATCTGTATGGAGATGTGAAACAGTGCACGGAGTTAGCGAAAATCTTACTCTCGATGTCACAGGTCTTACGAAAGGTGAGTCTATTTCTTCTTTTCTTGAAAGTAAAAGATGCTGTTTGTGCACCTCCCTGTGATACTTGTTCCATCTGGAGCATCGAGCCACGCAATGCGCCAATGTCACAGAGCCTGATCATTCGAACCTGATTAATAACTGCTAATGATCACCAACAGGGTGCTGGGGCCTATTCTAACCACGATCTGGACAGTTGGTGAAGTTTTAAACACGCATCGTAGCAAGTTGACACACCTCGGGTTTTTGTTTCCATACAGAATCCGGTATACAGTACAACTTGACATCAGCACCAGCGACGGCTGTAGAAGGAAATCCTTTTAAGCTGTCGTGTATACACGCTTCTGGCTTAACTCTAACAACAGCCTTGTGGTATAGGAATTGTGTTGAAATATTCCAAACAAACGGAAATTTGAACAAGAACCAAATGCTTTCTACAAACTATCACAACATCGAGTTCCGCTCAGTTTCACAGAGAGTTACTGTGGAGTCAGATCGGACACGACATAGAGTGACTCTCATCATCAACTCTACACTGGATGAAGGGTCTGTATGGACGTGTGGCACCGGACAAACTGTTAGTAACAGCATCACTGTTATACTTATGGAGCCTATCACTGGTAAGTGAGGTCAAAGTGAAGATCAGAAACTTAGTCATGCAAATGTGTATTCTTCAGTAAGGGACCGGCCACTTTGATATTCGGGGGTAGGAAGGGATTTAACGGTAAAAAATAAATTGTCCCCGAAAATACTTGATAAATATAAGTATGCTTCAGGCTGATGAAGAAACGAATATGCCATCCACAGTGTTGGAAGGTGTGGTTTTTTTTAAAACAAATAGTTAAACTCATGGTTTTAATCACACAAAAATATCTGGTGTAGCTGACTAAATATCTTGGGAAGGGGACGTGGGGTTAGGAGTAAAAGAGAGCATGCAAAATAAGTTTTCCTCTTTACAGGTAATAATACCTCTTTTTGTAAGTATTGATCAAGTTGAAATCTTTAAGTAGCCTTTCCAAAACCTCTTTGAAAAATAATCACAATTAACCATTATGACTATTTATGCAAATAGTATTTTTACAAGTTCTTCTCGAAAACTTGGTTTCAGAACAAACGCGATATTATTTCATTTAAGGTTGACATGGCAGTGCTGATATTGTGTAGGCCTTTGAAGTTATCATAACTTAATCAGTTAGTGTTACTTGTTGTTTATTCTGTCGTGTTTCAGAGGAAAGTAGTACGCCAACATCATCAACAGACCGTCAGACAACAGACCGTCAGACAACAAGTCGTCAGACAACAAGTCGTCAGACAACAAGGGCCGTTATGGATACTGTTACGAAAGATGATAGACCATCAGGTACATGTATTTCGTAAATTGAGAAAGGAATCTAACAGATGAAAACTTGTCATATTGTAAAAAAGATTTAAAGAACCTAACGTGAACTGATTAAAACAATGATTGTCTCATTAGCGTCTGCTCTGATAACCCATTTAACTACAAGGAAGCAACATAACGAAGTCCGGGACCGATACAGGATACAATGTAACAGCTGACAGGGAAACACTAAAATGTATGTACATATGATTAACCTGGTTAGTGGAAGGTTTTACCTGAGCTGCACTGATATTGACAACAGTATTTAAACTGTACGTTTCACTGACATGAACAAATCAGGAAAGTTAACACATGCGACAAGGAAAGTCAATGGTGAAGCTTTATTGACAAACTTTTATCTGATGTAAATCACCATGACCTGAAAGTGAGACCTCTATTTAGACCTGACATGGGAGACGTATCGAATTCTGTTGTAAACTGCTTGACAAAAGGAAATATACCCCCATGTTTGATGGTTGCCAAAAATGAGAAAAACAAGAAATGATTATTCGATGGTGACATATTTGCTTCGGGCGTCATCGGCAATATTACTTGCATCATATCAATGAGTGTCTCACATCAGGTGATGTGCACATGGCGTCTCCAGGAACATTGGTGTAGATCTGTAGCATGGCTTGGGCCTTTGCCTCAGCCTCATGAAAGCGAGAACGAGTGTTGAAACTGTATGGGTTGATTTCGTGGAAGAGTGACAATTTTTCTCACAAAATGATATTTTACTGTTTTATAGCTCAAGGTGAACCCCTTATCTACGCAATTGCTGGATCGGCAGGGGGTTTCCTGCTTCTTGTGTGCATCTTGATCATCGCCTGTATCAGCAGGAGAAGGTCGAGGGGTGGGTACATACTCAATTTTGCATGATACCCATTTGACAAAATGGTCACATCACAGACTTTCTGATACTGTATTGAACACGACGTTAAAGCCAGCTCACCTCAACTCGCCTCTGATACTGTGAAAAGAATTGGTTCTGGACCAACACATCCTACATCCTACACATCAAATAATTCCACTACCACTACTACCACCACTACTACTACTACCACTGCTACTACCACTACTACTACTACCACTGCTACTACCACTACTACTACTACTTCACTACTTCTACTACTGCTGCAATTACCACTACCACTACTACTACTACTACTACTATACTACTTCTACTACTGCTGCTACTACCACTGCTACCACCACTACTACCATTACCACTACTACACTACTTCTAATACTATTGATACTACCACTACTACTACTACTGCTGCTACTACCACTACAACACTACTACCACTACTACTACTACTGCTACTACCACTACTACCATTACCATTACTACTACATTCGTCCATTAACAATGCACCACTATAATGCTCATGCCGCTACGGTATTTTTATACCAGTCAGTGGATAAGTCGATTTTCATTCTTAGCCCTCCGTGTAATATACAACATGCATGTACCTTTGACATATTCACAGAGTTAAAACTACATTTGAATAGTGGATGTATGGTAGCCAAATGGTACAAGGCATTTCTCATTATAGAATGGAAACCTATTAGCACACTCGATAAGTCAGTATTGCCTTCAGAGAGGTAAAAACGTAAGACCGTTGTGTATTCTGTGTAAATCCGCAAAAATCGGTGATATCATAAAGGAGTTTTACGCTTGTTAGACATTTTACAGAGTTGTAACATATACTTGTATGTGTTCTCTACAACAAGCTGATATATCGTGGCTTTACTGATGCATACAGGCACAGATAATTGCTTACGGAACCAATACGTTTTATACAAGATTGAGAACTATCACTTTTGCCATTCACTGTCAGTGTTAATACAGGAGTATAATGACCTTTTCCATATAATGTAACATACTTGCCTTTGTAGAATGCACATAAAGTGTTTTTCTTACAGACATGTATCCCGGCATCGATAACAACACACAGGTGTCAAGTGACGCACAACAACAACCGAGTTACCTTGTCTTGACAAACGCTATGCTACAAGGAAACACGAACCTGTCTGAACACAGTGATAATAAGGATTAGAGAAACGGAAAGAAGGGGTGAACAGGTTGTTGAGGGTTGTCTACCTTCAGCTACCCGGATCCGCTGATCGTGTGTCTTAATTCCATTTTTGTTCCGATTAACGTACTCATACCGTTTACCACGTTAGAAAACGTGAGCGACCTTACTATTTCCACCAGCTTATTATAGAATCACATACCTCGCCGCATGTTATACTGTCTCATTTATAATCAGCTGAAATAAAATAAAGTAAATGCTGTCTAACCTCGTGGTTGGTATAATAATTGCGGATCTACTTGATAATACACCACATATTCAGTAGGTTGAGCAGTGATGAATGAGTGAGTGAGCTTTAGTTTAAAGCGGAGGTATTTCAGTTATATATATGTGTTTGTGTGTGTGTGTGTGTGTGTGTGTGTGTGTGTGTGTGTGTGTGTGTGTGTGTGTGTGGTGAAATTTGGTGAAACTAACTAGCACGTGTATGGTGTTGAGAAACAAAGAAATACAATCAGGGCGATTAAGAGATTCGCATTTACAACCGTTAGTGCCGGGCACGCCTAAGAACGCAACTATGGACAGCGAATTGCAGTGGCTCAAGTGACTTTGACGATTTCTGTAAGAAAGACCTGCTAAAACTGAGTGTCAGGTTTTTTTTGTTATAAAAGCATAAGAAGACGTATAAAACAGTTTTAATGCCAGTTCTTCAAATGTATTTTTCTAGGCAACACCAATGGAGTTCATGTTTCATTCCCTGTATTTTTCCTCCGAATCAAATACAACGCAGGCTCTTAAGCCTTCTTCCTCAGAAATAACGTACATAAAGACAGTGACCTCGGATCTTCAGAACTTTCTCAGTTCCATTCCATCTTTAGATCGTTTTAAACGTCCTTTGTCCTTGTTTCGACGTCTTGTTACCACAATCAACATCACTGCACAGACCACGACGACTATGGTGACAGATACTACAACACCGCCTGTTGCTGCGATGATGACAACACCTGACGACGACGACCCTGGATGAAAAAGAATTACTTGTGCACTTGAATGGCATTATCTCGAGTGAGCTTTATTTAACGTCGCTTGAAACGGAACAGTTACGTCACTGCCTGAAAGCTTAATGGTTGATGGTAGCTGAGAATAACGCAAGTCTAAGGCGTCATTCTGACAAAGCAAGGCTCAGAATCATCCCGAGTCCAGGCTGCACCTTCCCGAGGCAAGAGAGTTAACTGGCTTTAAAACGCCAGTTTCCACCCATGAGGAACTAGGCTGGAATTCCTAAGTCTATTTCCATGGGTATGTTGCGCTGGTGTGTAGCGCCAGCGCAGCATACCCAGGGAACCAGGCTGGGAATTCCTCGGCTGGATCGTAGCGCCACCAGTGACTATTAGAGTTACGTCCCTTCGAAGCTTCTCCCATGGACCAATCAGATTCCACCTCTTGCATTTGCTTCAAACAAAATGGCGGCGCCCAGTCAAGACGATCTGATCGATTATCAAGATCTTTATTGTGATGAAACGGGTTTTACATCGCGAAGTTCTTCAAATTACATGAGCACCTTGATTGAAGATATGAAAAGCTTTGGAAAATATCTGTTGACAACGAGTTGGCGTTGCACATGCTTTGCAAATCTTGCAATCGACCGAAATCTGCATGACAGTTTGCGAACCTGATTTCGATTTCATTGCGCGATTTTGATTGGACTATGCATAGACTCGTTAGCCCAGCCAAAATCTAATTCCATATTACCAGCCTAGTTCGGCAAAGGTGGGAACTGGACTTTTATAGTCAGTTAACTCTCTTTCCCCGGGAAGATGAAAATACAAAACAACGCACATAGCTTGCTACAACTAAATAACTCGGCACACTCTCTCATAATCTCGTGCAGGCAAATGAAAATTTACACTGGAAAATTCACACTTTACTCCGTTCATTTACTATGTTCTATGAAATTGTGACCCCCGTGTTCCTGGAGACGTCATGTGCACCCCACCCTTTGTGAGATAATCATTGACATGATGCATGTAATCACCGTCGAATAACCATTTCTTCTTTGTTTCATTTTGACCACCTTGATACATTGGTGTATACTTTCTTTCGGCCGTCAGTATATGTGCCGAACATATGAACGTATTCTTATGTGGAATTATGTCAAACACTGTACAAGATTGAATGAGTTGGTCGCCCCTTGGCTAGCATTGATCCAACCACGTAACGGCGGGTATGCAACCCTGTATGAAACAAAGCATCGGTTATATCAAAAGTCTCGAAACCAAAGATTTATGTTGAAATGAATTTAAACTGGTATTCAGTCTCAAGGAAATGGTGCAACAGTCGTGCTCGGAAAGCGGTTAATCCCGACAGATATCAGCTGCATCAACGAATCTGTGGCCCTAACCTTCCTTCGCCTGGCCAAGGTTGAAGTTCCGTATTCTGATTGTAACTGTCAGGGTCGTCGTGTGCGATGTTGACGCCTGCCCAACATCACGACGTTTCCGTGCCGTCCCTGGTATCTGCTTGATGCACTGTGTATTGTTGGACGACAGCCGCTGTAATTCCTGGAAGATAAAATGTAATTATCTTCAGATGGAATACCTTGATGGAAACAGCAGTCGATCCTCAAGAATATAGCCATTTTGTATTTTAAATAACCTGGACGCTTTCAACATCATAGCTTCACGTTGAGTCGGTTCAATTTAGCCGTCTAATCCAATAACACTGTTGTTTCACTATTGAAACGAGCGGTTGTTACGCCAGTATGTAACGTGCTGGTTCAAATACTGTACGCCCGATAGCAAAATTTTAATGGATTCCTGCCCCTATCTTAAGATAGTGACCGCCTCCGTGGTCTAGTGGTTGAGTGTCCGTGGTAGAGCCACGCTACCCGTGAAGATCCGGGGTAAAATAGGTCTTCAGCAACCTATGCTTGCCGTAAAAGGCGACCATGCTTAACGCCGCACTCAGCAATATTCCAGCAATATGACGCGCGGTCTGTAAATAATCGAGTCTGGACCAGACAATCCAGTGATTGACATCATGAGCATCGATCCACGCTATTCGGATACGATGACATGCATCAACTAAGTCAGCGAGCCTGACCACCCGATCCCGTTAGTCGCCTATTACGACAAGCATAATCGCCTTTTACGGCAAGCATGGGTTGCTGAAGACCTATCTACCCCGGAACATCACGGGTCGCGTGGCAGCTAAATGTAGTTGGAAAGCCAGAAGTGATGCATGTCTCACACGATTACTTTGGTGAAACCCAGGTAAGTTGCTGACAAACCTAAACACATACTCGGGTCAAAACAGTGACCCGGACCCACGTTTCTGGAACGCCCAAGGGACGAAACTCTGCACAGCCTATTATGCGCCTGAGAAGACTGGACCACCTGTGCCCACTGGTTTTAGTATATTCCTTACGCCTGTGGTACTACTGACTGTGGTAGGTCACCTGGCTACACTATCCCAAACTCCCTGTGGTAGCTCACCTGGCTACAGTATCCCAAACTCCTTGACAGCTCACCTGGCAATAGTATCCTAAACTCTCTTTGATAGCTCACCTGGCTACAGTATCCCAAACTCCCTGATAGCCCACCTGGCTAAAGTACCCGAAACTCGCTATGCTAGCTCACCTGGCTTGAGTATCCCAAACTCCTGATAGCTCACCTAGCCACCGTATCCCAAACTCCCTATGACAACTCACCTAGCCACCGTATCCCAAACTCCAAATGATAGCTCACCTGGCTGCAGTATCCCGCTACTGCCGATTCTGGACACACAGTAACTGAGCAACTGTAGGTGACCTCGTTGCCGTGGACAAACATCTGCTGGAAGTAGAAGGCGTAGACGGGAACATACGCCAAGTTGTAGCCGAGTCGGCCGTGTCTGTACACGGTGAACTGGTCCACAAGGCTAGGTTGGTCGATGCAGCGGCTGTAGGAAATATATACTGTATTAGTAGTGATTAAGTAAGTATAGATTTACGTCGCTTTTAGCAATATTCCAGCAATATGTCGCGGCGGGGGAGACAAATGGGCATCACACATTGTGACCATACGGGGAATCGAACCCGGGTCTTCAGCGTGACGCGCGAACGCTTTAACCACTAGGCTACCTGCACTGTATTAATTTAGTAACTCTGTAAAGTAACCCAAAGAGAGGAATCTTTCTGCTGCGCCTTCTCGACACCTGGTCTAAATACAAATCTTAGATACTCGAGCTGTTTTATTGCCCATCCAGCTGCAGTCGGG